TCTTATCAACTTTATGAGCCTTTTAATAAACCTACAGCTTACCAGCATAAAAGGTAACTACAGTACCTCAAAATAATTAAAAAAAAAAAGCCAAGACGCCAACAAAACACTGAACAGGGGGCTTTTTGGACTCACATCTTGCCTGGATCTCTTGACAGATGGAAGTGTCCCCCAGCAAGGTTATTCTAGAATAAAGTCTCCCCCTTGTGGATCTCTCACATAATAAAAGCTCCATCAAATACTCAATTGCATAATAAAGTCTGTGCTCCTTCCTTTGCAGGTAAGAATTTCAGAGGCAAATAGGAACATGTAATGAAACCACAGTACATGGCTTACTTCAACTCAGTGGGCTCAATCCCACCTCAGGCAAGACAAGCTGTTTTGTTGTAACATACCTTATGATTCTGTGATAAATTCATTTGAAAGACACTAAAACCCTCAAAATGATTTAATTCCTTCCCATCTCGACATCAGTTAGTTATGAAGGTTGGTTTAGTGACCCCCCACAAACTATTCAGCCCCAAACCATCAACAGTTTAACTATTTAGGTAAAAATTCAAATTCCAAACTCTTTCTCACTAATACTTATTAAAAAGAACATAAAATATGGCAAGATTTCCCCCCCTATTTTATTTGCACAAAGTTTACTATCCTGGAAAAAATAGTTTCATCCCAGAACAACTTAGTGTGTCTCAGAGATTAAGGAGCTATAGCACTATTTGCAGAATGACTCTTCCTCAAACACTTCATTAACTACGCTATTCTCTGATCTCCATTAATTTAAAGGGATCACAAAGATTTCTTTGCATATGATAATTTACATTATCATAAATTAAGAAATCATTGTGATCACTTAAATTATCACGTTGATCTCAATGCTCTCTTAAGGTATTTAAACATAGTGCTAATAAATCATACACTTTGTCTGCAAGATTTATTTATTTATTTATTTATTTTCTAAGAAACAAAATCCTTGATGGCTTGAAATATTATTCAATTACGTACGTGACAAACTCATAATTTATTCGCAGTACCAACTGTTGAGTCAATACTGGATAAAAAGCTTTTTAACTATCCAGAGACATGTTCTCACATTCATTTCAGAATAGTAATATAATGGTTAAATATTTATTTCTTGCAAGTTCTGCAATAGTGCTAGGTTTCCTGCTTTCATTAACAGTCTCTTATTTGTATGCAGTAATTGCTTTAAAAATATTAGCATTGTCATTTCTTGCTAGCACTATGATAAATCAACAGAAAGTCTTATCCCCATGCCTCCCCACAGAAGAGCATAATTCTGCTTCCCTCGATGCCAGTGACAAAACCTCTCTAATTTGAGGATTACACTCAAAGAATTCATGAAAGATGTTAGTTTGACAGTCTGGGACTCTTATCCTTTCTAATTGCAGAACAGATGCAATAGCTAAGAAGTGCTACACTCTGCCAACGTTCCTCTGTAGGAACCAACAGCTCCTTGAACTAGAAGGGTAGCTGCTACTTCTCCACCTCGTTTCAGTCCTTGACCTCTCAATAGCAGCTATCAGCAAACCACGTTTTCTGTTCCAAATATGGGAGTTTTAAGGATATAAACATCTGGCTATTAGGAACAAAAAAAGATACCATTCATTCATTTCAAACATCCATCAACAATGACTGTCAACTGCTGCTGACCTGGGAAATGCAGAGGCAAAATGCCAAGAACCAACCTCTGAATCAACTGCACTTCTGAATCTTCTTGTTTTAAGAGTTCAGTTCAAAAAACCTGAAGTTCACACTGCTAAACTGCAAAAGGCTGCTAAAGCTAAGAACATGGGTTCTGATCTCTGCTGCTCGATTCAGGGAAAAATGGGCTTGCAGAAACCATGAAGGCAAAGCACTAAGAAACAAAACATCGCAAATCTGACAAAGTGACAAGAGACTCCTGCAAAAAGACTCTTCAACAGAGTAAAAAGAATATTATGTATTTTAGCCGTATTCTCAGAGACTGCCTGCTTATCTTGCCAGGATGGATGAGGAACTACAATTCTTAGTGAATATAAAATAAAAGGAGGAAAATAATTGGTAATGACAATATTGCAAGCTATATTTCAAAATCATTGGTACTTGACTAACTAAGTACCTTGATTTTCTGGCAAATAGTCTCCATACATGATCACCCAGCACTACTAAATGAGCTGTATTGCTAGTAGTGACAGACATTTGTAACACATGATATTTCCCAATGTGGACAATTGTTAAATTTTATCCCTGAAGTACTACCATACAACACAGCTTCTGTATGTGTCAATACTCATATTGTAATTATGGATTAATAATAACTTCACTACTTATCATATAGCTTCTACATATATGTGCATACTTACTCTCATTAAATGCATCAGAATGGGTACAACACCACAAACATGAAACCAGATTTTCCTGTTAAAGCAAACTAAGGGATCCAGAAACGAAGTCTTTCTAAAGTTAAGACCATGTTTCAGCTCCTAGATCTGAATGATCTAGACATTTAGTCTACCGCTAACTGTCATTCATGCATGAACACATACCAAGGATGAATTTTGTATCACGGTCATTCAGCTTCAGGTCATTCAACCTGACAGATAATCCCAAGATTCTATATAAGAAATTAAGGAAGCTGTATTGTGAAAAATCTACCATCCATTGTCGTTTCACACCATGAACTTTTTGCCATCAAAATAACACGTACCATCGCTGAAGTCATTCCTCCCTTACCTTTCCAAGCCTGTTGTCCTCATACAACAGGTACTTTTAATCTCTTTCCAGACCTCTCTGTCTCTTCAAATATCATGTCCTTCTCACAGCTGCAGAATTTTATCTTCCTCCCTTCTTGCAGCTCTCCTAATATTCCTTAAAATTCACCGATTCCTTCATTTTCTCTCACTTTGGGCTGGACTTTTATGCTGCTTGCTATTCAAGCTGTCTTCTCTGCAGTCTCCAGTGTCCCACCCAAAAATCCACATTCTCTGAAAATCTTTCACCATTTCTCAGTTCTTGCAATCTCTCTCCCTATTCTCTTCATCACCAATCCTGCATCCTTATTTTTCCAAACCATTAATACCTGCGATCTTTTGCATTTTCCATTTTTATTCTGCAGGAAACCTATATATTCTGGGATTGTAAGTCCATGTTAAATATATGGGTCTGTTAAATTACTAGAACAAACACACAATTAAGAGTCAAAGCCCTTCTCTTCCCCATCATCTCTTTATGGTAATACAGCGTACTCACTGCTCTCTATACTACAGTGGCACAGCTCTCTGCATGATCTCATGTGCATTAAAATAAGACAAAGCAAGCTGGGAACACAGCAGGGACTGCACAATCTTCTTTCGACCCACAGAAGTTACGTGAAAAAGTTATTAAACCTTCAGCAGATTATTACTGTGAGGCATGAGCTATGTGAAATGGAATTCAGAAATAGAGTATCTGTGGGTTTGGGGCCATATTACAATATATTAAAAAGCCAGAGGATCAGCTTTCTCCAAAACACAGGAAAACATTAAAGTTACCCTAGAAAATAATAAACATAGAAGAGTGATTTTAAGTATGTTCTATTAATGAGAGGTGTTTGGGAGATACGAGAAACCAATGTAAGGGGTTACCAGTGTCAGAAGGCTACTCACATATACACTCTAAAAAACCCACAGATGCCTTTTCAATTATTACTGCTTACAAAAATAGTGTGCATGTATATCTACACTTCATCACTACAGCCATGTTCAAGAAGAACGAAAGAATTACAAGAGAATACCTCACACAGTAGGAAGCCCCATGGCCAAACCTGCTTTTTCTATACAGACATTACATTTGAGAATTTCCAGGAGAACCATGTAAGAAAGCAAATAAAGCCTACAAGGGACCATCATGAGCTCTTTTTCTGTGTTAAGAGCCCTACAGATAACTCTTGCATAGAAAGTGAAGCCAGAAGGAACAATAAAAATCTCTCTACATCAAAGTCACTAGTCTTCACACAGTACCTCTAAACTGAGCCCAGTAACTTGTTTGACAACATATCTTTCAGAAAGATGTCAGTCTGAATGTGAAAACATGAGAAAGTTGAGAATCCTCACTTCCCTTGCTTATTTTTTACAATAAATTTTTACTGCAAGAAGTGTGTGTACTGAACATTATCTGGGGTTTTGGCAGAGAGGGTCCTTGGAGTTTCCAGGTAAATGCAACAAATTGAACACTACACAAGGAGTAGAGGAATCTGCCTTCTGAGAAAACTACTGAAGCTCGAGTATCTCTTCAGCATCGATGTGCCACCTTGCTCACTTCACGTCACTACGTCTGTCCTGTGAGATATCAAAGCTTAGTCTGCCTATCTCTGGTAAACGGGTATTACAGTCTGACAATCCAGCGCGGTAATTCCTGTGTCAAGGGGAGGGACATCATTTTATTCACCGTTAAAGAGGTGCCCCCAATTTCTAGAATGGAGACTATGGTAGACAACTTCTGCTTCCCAGGAGAAGGATGAAAAGGTCATTTGTGCAGGAGATACAGTTCTCTTTGGCTTCCCGAGACAGAATGAGCTAAGAATAAACACCCACCTATTGACTTTTCCTTCCAGTAACTGAACTTCCTTCCTTAACCCTTCCTAATACCCTCATAAACATACATTTGTAGCGTAGCTCTAGCGTCCAACACCAGAAACAAAACCCTTCACCCTCCATCTTCTCCTGGGCAAGGAAGGAGCTAACCGGCACTCCACAAAGGCCTAACCGCAGGCTGGACACCGGGTCCTGACCCCGTTAATCCATGCACCCGGGGCCAGGCGCAACGGCACCCGAAGGCTGCAGAAGCCAGCCCCGACAGCGAGGCAGCCAGGGCACCGCGATCCCGCCGAGGGGCACCGGCCATCTCACGGAGGGCAGGAAGGAGAGCTTTGCAGGTACGGGGTCAGGTGTCCGCTTGGGAGGGCCCGCGGCTGCCCCGAGCGACGGGCGAGAGGCGCGGCCCCGCGACCGGAGGAGGCTCACCTTGTGCTCCAGGACGCTGATGTAGCCCTCCAGTAGGCCAGCCCCGACGGGGAGCGCCGGGTGGTGCTGGCCGTGTCCCGGCGGGCGGCTGGGCACCGCCGCCACCTGCTGCTGCTGCCGCCGCCGCGGCTCCGGGTGGCCCCCGCCGCCGCCGATGCCGCCGTACATGAGCAACAAGCTGGTGCACATGGTGGTGAGCGCCAAGCAGACGGCCAGCCCGTGGCGCTGCGGGGGGCAGAGAGAGAGAGGCGGCTCAGCGCCGCGGGGCAGCGGGCTCCCCCCGCCGCGGGGCCCAGCGGGGCGCACCGCTCCCCGCCGCCGCACTCGCGGCGCCCGCAAGTTTCACGCCGCCGGAGGCCCGGCGAAAGTGCGAGGAGGAGCGGGGGAACCCCCTCCTTCCTCCGCCTGCTCCCTCGACAGCCCGCTCCCCTGCCTGCCTCCCTCCTCCCTCGCTCTGTCTCCCCCAGCCCTGCTCCCCTGCCTCTTCTCCCCTCTGCGTTGCCTGCTCCTCCGCGCCTCTCATTTCCCATGCAGCCGTCCCCTTTTGGGCATCTCATCCGTGCATTTTAGCGAGTGTTGGGGATTACAGCGCTCCCCCCTCCCCGCGCAGCTACCTCCAGCCTCGTCCTTAAGGCAGATCGGATTTCTAGGCGCTCCTTAAAACGCACACACACACAAAACCCCCAAACCACGAGCAACACGAATAAAAGAAAGCAGGCGGAAAGTTCTTCGCCGCGGCCGCCGGCGTTTTGTTCGCCTTCGCGCGATCCCGAAGAGCCGCGGGGATGCAGCCCGGGGAAGGCTGGAGCGTGTGCAGGGTGCCCGGGGCAGCCCCGCTCCGCTCCGCGCCGCTCCTCTCCTCCCCGCCGCCGGAGCCGGGATGAGCAGTGCCAACAATGCACTTACCATCAGGGTCTTCATTTTGTGCGCCTCCCGGCCGCCAGTCCTCCCGCTCCCCGCTAGGCTCGGCATGGCGGGGAAGCCGCAGACATGGCTCGGCCAGGGAAGCGCCGCCGTGGCGGGGATTAGGGGGGAATTACACCCGGCCGGACCCTCGGAGCCTGCCAGAGCCGGGTCCTCGGCTGCCCCGCCTGCCTCCGCCCCCGCCTCCGCCTCCTCCTGCCGGCGCAGCGGCGGCTTCAGGGCAGGTGGAAGTTAACTTCTGCCTCCCCCTCGGCCGCGCCGCTCCGCCGGCGAGCCCGCGCCTCGGCGGC